TCTCTATCTCACTCTTCAACCAATGACGAAACAGCTTTTCGAGTTTCCTTGTCTTTACATAGAAACACAATTCAGTAGTAAAAATTTTTTTCGAACATATAAAATGTTTCGATGAGAATAGTTCTTTTATTTTAATTTATTATTTAATAATTTATTTTAATTTAATAGGTTTAAAATTCGTGCTTTGAAAATAATATAGTATTTATTGGTGTATTATATTTTCCCTGTGTTTTGTTTATCTTCAAATTATTTGTATGGTGAGTTATTGCATATTATTCTATTATTTTAGTTGTATCTTTCTTTTATATACAATAACATATTTTAGTCTCATAATAAAATTTTTATCATATTGTTTAGGTTTATCAAGTTAATTCACATTTTTTATTTATATCTTTGTATTTTTATTGTATTTTTTACTTTAAATCTGTAAATAATATATATATATATATATATATATATATATATATATATATAAAGCAAGAGGTTTTTCTTCAGATGGTGAAATAATACGATAAAACTTGGGCATCCATCCAGTAACTAAAAACAGTTTTATTGAAAGAGAATGTTTTTATTATGGAAACATACGTTTTGGGTCCTGATTTGACCCATCTTCAGTGCTACAATTAAATATTTCAGGGTTACAATTTAAAACAGGGTTACAATTTAAACAATAATAAAAATACCAATTACAGAAAATTATAAGTAAAAACATGTAAATTAATAAATTTATTAAATTGATTAGATTTATGCTTTTTACATGTTTTTATTTATATTTTTCTGTAATTATGTATTTTTTATATTGTTTTGTAATTGTAACCCTAAAATATTTAATTGTAGCATTGAAGATGGGCCAAATCCAGACCCAAAACGTATGTTTTCATAATAACAACATTTTCCTTAAATTAAACTGTTTTTAATTACCGGATGGATGCCCAAGAACAATTTTATTATATATATATATATATATATATATATATATGTGTGTGTGTGTAATGAATTTACCTCTCCGGTTATTAGAAATATTTGTTATAAAATTTTATTCTAAGAGATTTTTGCTTTTATAATTGTGTAAAATTGTTTCTGCAAAAACATTTGACCTTTAACTATAATATATCTCATAATATTTACCCCATTTCAATTTATTGGTTTTTCACGATTTTTTCGAATTTGGATGTCAAAATGTTCAAAATGACTAAAAAAATGATCAATCCAGATTTTCTGGCAGAATCATAATTTTTTTTAGAATGTTTTAAAAATAGGACATGAGATAATTTATTAATATAAATATAAAGCACAATATTGATATATTTTTTAACTAGTAGGCCGCACGGTATCGTGCTTTAAGGCAAATTGCTGGAACTTCCCGTACCAAAATTATTATTTTTTTTAAAAACGATTAACGTTTTGAAAAAAAATTACTTCAAAAAATTAGATTTTTGAGAAACTATAATTTTTGACAAAAATCTACTTTTTTGAAAAAAAAAGACTTTATGAAGAAAAATTTATTTTGAGATATTTTGGTAATTCAGAACATTTTGTCAAAGCAATCGTACTGCTTTAACTGCATAGAGACGAAATATAAAGCGCGTAAGCGCCGCGCCGCCGTCTAACGGATAAACATTGGTACGGAACCCTAGAAATGTAAACAAAATTTATACTTATTGTTAAAATCTCTATAAAATATCTGATAATTTGATGTGCATATGTCTAATGATCATTTTTGACCCGCAAAATGGTATTATTTTTCACTTTTTTACGAGATCTCCTAAACCGATAGACCTACCTGCATGAAATTTGATCAGTTCTTCATCTTGTTAATAAAAATGAAATGTTTTTTGAATTATTCAAATCGGACGCTCCGTTTTCTTAAAAACTGAGTTAACGTTTTTGGCACTTTTTGCCCCATATCTTGGGAACGGCTAGACCTGCCCTTGCCAAAAACTAATCAGCACATCTCCTTTTCAATACGAATCGAATGTTTTTTGAATTATTCAAATCGCTTGATCCGTTTTACCCAAAATCGTCGACGAAAATTTGTATCCGCACACACACGCACACACACATACATCCATTTTTTCTAAGGTACGCCAAAATGTTCAGAAGTTTGAAACGTAAAGATTTATAAAAATTTTCATTTTCGATTTTTTTGCGATTACTATAACTTGCCCTACGGGAAGTTAAAAAAAAGAAGATTCGCAGAATCTTGTTTTATTAAAGTAAAATCTATTAGTAATAACAAACGTCACTTTTTTATATTTTTTGAGTTATTAAAAAAAAAATAATTTTTAATTTTTAAGTCTAGGTTTGCACTTTAATTGAATTTCTTATTTTTTTCCAAATTTGGATGCCCAACGATTCAGATGACTTAAAACATTGCGAAACCACGAAATTAACAAACCGAATTTTTATATAACAAAACACAGTTTTTTTTAAATAAAGAAATTTTTAAATGAGAGAATTTTTTGCCATAAAAATTTTTATGGCAAAACGTCCTCTCCTCCTGCCCTGCGACATTAACAAAATTAAATTTTTGAATAATAGACAATTTAATTATAAATATTTTATATTCACATTATTTTTAATTATAATATAATTATATAAATTAATTTGTACAAATTCACATTTCACACTCACATCAAATATTTACAATTTTTAGAACAAATTTTGCTCATACATAATAATAAAATGACTATTAGATTTATTCTCGGATAAGATTGCTCTTTTATCTTATAAAATACATAAATATATTATCGACTCGTATCGAAAAGAGAAAACTCTTACGTATATATTTTTTTAATTAAGCCATTTCTCACAGGCCTTTAATATTTTATAGGGTTTGTTTGAACTGTCAACTTTTATAGATGTGATTTTTTAAGTTCATATTTAAATATGAAAAAAAAATCTTTGTTGAAAATTTCACTGAGTTGAAATGCACTTCTGCGCTATGGTTTCTTCTTCGGAAAGTTTCTGGAAATGACTACTTTGTTATAAGAAATAAATGCACATCTCAGGCATTTTGGAGTATTATGGATTTTCAAACGCGATTTTAAAGTATACCGAGTTGCTGTAGGTCATTATGATAAAAGGATAAATATAGTTACTTAATATCAAACAAATTTGTCTCGGACATCAGTCATATCAATCGAATGGTTTACGGTATATAAGCGTTAGGAGAAATAAATGCACATTCAAAAAATACAAGTGTATTATCGATTTTCTAACGCAATTTTAAAGTATACCTAGTTGCTGTAGAGTTTTACAATATTAGAAAAGTCTATGCATCATTTATGGTACACAAATTCACTGAATATACTATATACTTTAAACAAACATTTTGAAAGTTATATAACAATTAGTAAAAAAAGTAATGCCAATAACGTAGGCCAAGTCAGTACTTTGTTCTATATATGGGACAGAGTCAATTTTTTTTTTCAAAACGTTTTGAAGTAAACCAAGTTGCTGCAGGGCATTATGATGTTAGAAAAAAATATAGATATGATAATATTGAACAGTCTTAGACATCATTCATATCATCGAATGGTTAAAGGTATACAAGCGTTATAAGAACTAAATGCACTTCCAAAACTTCTAGGTGTATTATGGATTTTCAAAAGCGATTTTAAAGTATACCGAATTGCTTGAGGGTGTTGTGATATTAGAAAATTTTATTCATTATTTAATTGTGCACAATTTACTGAATATACCATGTACTTTAAACAAATATTTAAAAGATATATAACAATTACTAAAAAAAAATAGTGCCAATAAACGTAGCCAAATCAGTACTTTTGTCCTATATTTGGAGCGGAGTCAATTTTCTATTTTCAAGTGCGTTTTAAAGTATACCGAGTTCCTGTAGGGTATTATGATTTAGAAAAAATATAGATGATTTGATATCGAACAAATTTGTCTAAGTCATCATCTAAATAAATCGAATGATTTACGGTGTACAAGCGTTTGGAGAAGTAAATGCATATCCAAAGCATTCAGGTGCATTATTGATTTTCGAAGGCGTTTTTAAAGTATACGAATTGCTTGAGGGTGTTATAATATTAGAAAATTTTATACATCATTCAATTATTCATAAATTCACTGAATATACTTAGTACTTTAAATAAATATTTTGAAAGTTATGATAAAATAATCATCTAAAAACGCTGGTCGATTTACCATTAATGCAATGGTTCTACTACATAAGTTGGAAGTCTGGTTAATTTTGTATTTTCAAGTGCGTTTTAAAGTGTATCGAGTTGCTGTAGGGCATTACGATGTTAGAACAAAATATAAATATAATAATATCGAACAAATTTGTCTTAGGCACCATCTAAATAAATCGAATGATTCAAGGCGTACAAATAATAGAAGAAACAAATGCATATCCAAGGCTTACTAGTGTACTATTCATTTTCGAATGCAATTTTAAAGTATACCGAGTTGCTGTAGAATATTATGATATTACAAAATTTATGCACCATTCAATTGTGCACAAATTCACTAAATATACCATGTACTTTAAAACAAATATTTTAAAAGTTATAAAACAATTACTAAACATTTATCGATCCACTCACTATGGTTGTACAACATGGTAGCAAACTTGAGTCAATTGTCTATTTTCAAGATGGTTTAAAGTATACCGAGTTGCTGTAAGTTATTATGATGTTAGGACAAAATATAGATATGATAATATCAAACAAATTTGTCTTAGACATCAATCATATCAATCGAATGGTTTACAGAATACAAGCGTTATAAGAACTAAATGCACATCCAGAGCATTCTGGTATACTATTGACTTTTGAATGCAATTTTTAAAGTATAACGAGTTGCTGTAGATCATATAATGTTAGACAATATCGTAGACAATTAAATTTCAAACAAATTTCTCATATACATCATTTCAATAAATCAAACGGTTTACGTTATACAAGCGTTTGGAGAAACAAATGTACATCCAAAGCCCTAAGGACTTGCTGATCATTTCCTAAATAAATTCCTATTCAATCCTGAACCGCCTTACTTCTATCAATAGCCATAAACCCACTATTTTCACTTTTCCTCCTGGCAGTTAAATCTTCCCTCCTGCCAGCAGGTCTTAACAAAAAATTACCTTCGTTCACCAAATTTCGTCTCCGCAAACTCAAATCCTCGGTCAACATATCAGATTTCGTGGTAACTCCTAAACTTGGAGGCGGTATCAAAAGACCTAGTTTGCCTGGTATTGGGTCACATGGTGTCCTTGAATAATTTATACCTAAAGTGGATTCTCGTTTGGTTAAAAGAAGACCTTGCTGGCTTTTTTCCATTTGCTGATGTCTTGAACGCACCTGGAAAAAAAATGGTTAAAATTTGTGGTGATTTTTGTTGTATTCAGTAGGGCTTGTCGGTTTTCAAAAACCGGTTTTTTGGCAAAAATTATGGAATTCGAAAACCGGTTTTTAGTGAAAAAAGTCGGTTTTCACTGTATAAATGGAAAATGACAAATATAGCCAAATATAAAAGATAGATGAAAGCGTTTTTTGATTCTTGAAATCATATCGGTTCAATAGCATTCGATACCTTATCTGTCTGCAATGGTTCCCAGAAAGGTTTTATATAATAATTTAGATTTTTATACCAGTGTATATATTAATTTAATCAGTGTGACTTCTTCTTGAAGAAGTAACTTCCTCTACTCAATCTTAAAAAAAGAGTTTAAAAACCTAGAAGCCGCAAATTAAAGAACAAAAAACTTTGTATTATTATATCAGACATTAAAAACAATTAAGCATAATTTGGTCGCTAGTATGAGAGTATTTTCTATTTCAGGAAATTTTGTGAGTAAACAATAAAGGACACGTCTAAGTAGTAATTCTGTATACGTTCTCAGTTTTTTAAATCATATTTTTTTAAACAAAAAACAATTAGAATGTTTAAAATTAATTAATTAAAATTGTTCGGAACAGACAATACCCGAGTTTAGCTTAATTGTTTTTCAAACTAATATTGATATTAACAAGTATGTATCAACATGTATCTAATATTTTTTTTTACTTTTTTTAAATATTAATGCATTTTTTTCATTTAAAAATGTATTATTTTTTTTATTCGAAAACTTTTCTTGCACTATCATAAAAATATTTTCTTTCTTATATGTGAAAATGATGCATAAATATGAATAATTATTTTCCAAGTTATGTAATCAAGATAAACTCTTATTTTAGTTCTAGTAATTGGAATCAAAATAGTTGCGTTTACTATCTATAAAATTGAACAATAAATAATTCAGTCAAATACTGTTCTAAATAACACTAAATTTGCGGATAAATTACAGAATATTCGAGCAAAAATTTATTTTCCACATGAAATTCGAAAACCGGTTAAAACCCGTTTTTTAGTAAAATTAAAATTTGAAAACCGGTTTTCTGAAATGTCGGTTTTTGTATAAACCCTAGTATCCAGATACTTACTGCAAATCTGTTGACGTGTACAGGAATTGGTACCACACAATTTTAGGACGACGGTATTTGCACTATTTGTAGATTCTTGGATACCACCAGCTGTAGAACCACAGGTTGGCGATTGTGGCTTCCAGAATTGTCCAAATGATGTTTTGTAGCACCCAAACCGGCTTTGACACGTTTCCATTTGGCACGACGATTTTGGAACCAAATCTTCACCTAAAAATCACACACACGTCAATTAGATAACAACAAATGAATTATAAAAAATATTGGTGTATGGCATCGTGCCTTAAGAAAAATTGCTGGATCTTCCCGTACCGTAATAAAATATTCGAGAAGTTCCAAACGTTTTCAAATATATTATTACAAATACTCTGTAACTTTCATTATTTTTGCTATCTTATTGTTATTCTGAGCAAATCAAATGTAAATCATAAATCATAAATCAATTTATCTCCAGAACATTAACAATAGTCATTTCATTTCGAATTCAATTTCAAAAAAATAGTTTAGTTGCCTAATTTACACAAATTTGAAAAAGTGCTCCCGTATAGTCACATTCTAAACGCATTTGCAAATAATTCTGTGCGACATAGTCACTTATACTGTGCTTAGCTTGGCGGCATTTTCACATTTTTCAATAGTTTTGAAATTGAAAAAGTGATCCAGTACATAAACAATCTAAACGCACTTGGGAAACATTTGTTCCAGAGTGGCGCTTAGATTGTGCTTAGCCTAGGCAATAGTAATGGGCCGAAAATTGAAATTGAAAATTTTTTACATTTCTCGACGTTTTGAAGGTTTCTGAACATTTTGGCATACCTCTGAAAAATGGATGTGTGAGTGTGTGCGAGTATGTATGTAAGGATACAATTTTTCGGTCACGTTTTCAGGCGCACGGATCAACCGATTTGAATAGTTTAAAAAACATTCGATTCCTATTGATAGGGAGATGTGCTGATTAGTTTTTTGGTAAAAGCAGGTCCAGCAGTTACGGAGATATGGAGCAAAGAGTGCAGAAAATAGAAATCGAGTTTTGAGAGAACGGATCATCCGATTTGTATGATCCAAAAAACATTCATTAGTAATAACGGGGAAAAGACCGTTAGTTTTTGGCAAAGGTAGGCCCAGCGGTTTCGGAAATACAGAGGGAATGTTAAAAAATGGCAGTTTTTTGAGAGAACTAAGCGTCCGCTTAGTTTTCCGCTTAATGATTCAAAAAACTTTCTGCTTGTTTCACAACAAAATAATAGCTTCGGAAAAGAATTTTTGTTTCTAATTTTTTTTTTTCAAAAAATATTTTTGTAATTTTGGATTAAAAATTCAAAAAATTACCCAAGCTAAGCACATCTAAGCGCCACTCTGTACAAATGTTTACCCAAGTGCGTTTAGACTGTTTATGTATTGGAACAATTTTCCAATTTTGTGAGAAACTATTGAAAATGTGAAAATGCCGCCAGCTAAGCACAGTATAAGTGAAAATGTCGCACAAAATTATTTGCAAATGCGTTTAGACTGTGACTATACGGGAGCATTTTTTCAATTTTGTGTGAATTAGGCAACTATTTTTTTTTTGAAATTGAATTCAAAATGAAAATGACGATTGTTAATGTCTAAAGGAGATAAATTGATGATTTATGATTTATATTGATTTGCTCAGATATAACAAGGTAGCAAAAATATGAATGAAAGTTACAGTATTTGTAATAATATATTGAAACGTTTAAAATTTCTCGAATATTTCATTACGTGCGGTAAGTTCCAGCAATTTGCCTTAAGAAACGATGCCATACATAACTGGTTTCAAGTAATTTTTACCTGTACTTCGCTCAATCTTAAAGCAGTGGCGATCTGTCCTCTTTCGGTAAGGGACAAATATTTTTTGGCATGAAACTCTCGTTCCAATTCCAAAAGTTGTTCGCTGGTGAAGGCAGTTCTTCGTCTCCTGGATTTGGAATTGGTGGCACCAGGTTGTCCTAAGGCTGATTGGAGAGTTGATGTTTTATTGGTGAAATTGATGAAGACTGCAAGGAATTTTTTTGTGGTTTTGGAGACGTCTCGGCGTCAGAGTCCAAATCCGAGTTGTCCAGGTCGTCGTCGTCGATTTCTGATGAATCTTGGGAAAAAAAACAGAAATTTAGTTGCGGTTTTGAAGGGTACTAATTTGCTGTAGGGCATTATGATGTTAGAAAAAAATTTAAAGGATTTAATATCAAACAATTTTTTGTCTCACATCATTCATATTAATCAAATGGTTTGAGCTGTATGATCCTTATAAGAAACAAGTGCACATTTCAGGCATTCGGCATAATGATCCATTTTCAAATGCGATTTTAAAGTACTCCAAGTTGT